GGATGTGTAACATGAAATACTTGGTAATTTGGATAGTCTTTTTCCTGAGACATCGTATGCTGTGTGAAGTAGCATAACATAAGCAGCATGGAAGGTGATAGGAAGACAGCATCTGCAGACTGTTCAAGTTTCCTTTAAGTGTTCTTTATTTTCTGGCATCGCCTTTCAACAATTGTTTCACAAAAACATAAGAACCTCTCAGTCAAAATCTCACCTGCTTTATATAGAATTCCACTCACACCTGGACCTCATTAACCTCCACCATTGGGAAAACAGGGTAGACTAAATAACACAGTCTAGACAAAGAAACAGGAATAAAATCATTTTTCCACTTAACAAACTCATTCACCCAATTAAACAGTTTGAAAAGTCAAACTCTTCACTTACTCTGACTCATGAGGTTATTTTAAATGAAATAAACAATTTTATACAAAAGAAACACCCCTTCATTTGGTTACACCCAATTGACATAATCAGTGACATCATATCCTATAAAATCAGGAAGTACTGGGGGCCCTTCCCACATCCCTGTTTTACACATAGGACCTGCTCAAAGGAACACACAATGGTAAATATAGCCAAGCTACATAAACAAATGAAAGATTCAAATCAATTAATGATGAAGTGACATTTAGCTTTAAGATGACATGAATATAACCAATGCTACCACAAACAGACCCGGGATAGTATGTAGAGCCGAGGTTGCATGTGCTGTGTTTACATTAAAGTAGTGATGGGTAGATGAGGCCTCGTGAAGCGTTTCAGCACATTCCCCAAACTCTATCAATACTGAGTCGACACAGTGTTGCTGTTTTGCTCCATACTGACACCTGCTGGACCTTAAATATCATTGCAGGCACCTTACTTGAGACTCAACAGACACTGATTCAATGACCTAGTCATACTTGTGCACACTGTAAGCTATTGTACTTTCCATGGAATCATTTTATATCTTTTACATTGCAACTATTGCAGACATCTTTAATATATATATATTTATTTAAAATGAAAGTATTGTGAATGTAATATTACCCATTTAAATGTAATTGACTCAGAGTTTATTATAATTTTTATTCAGAAAAATTCGGCACCTTTTAAACACAGCTTGGCGCGTTGGCAATGATACAGCAGCTGTATCGATCACGTGACTTTTTCTTAAAGCGACGCACGCACCGATACAGGTTTCACTCTGTGAACTTGAGACATGCGTCGGTGCGTCAGTGTTGCTGGACCCATCACTACATTAAAGCATTATGATAGACTATAATATAACAGAACACAAAATAACAATATATGCAAGTGACAAATGGCAAATGAATTCTGTCCTAGCCACTTTGTCACATGCTGAAAGCTTTTCCATATAGAAAACGGAAACTTTTTGGGGGGAAAGCTAAATGATGAAGCTCAGAGCAAGAATTCTGCTCAGCAGTTTCTCAGCTTCATGCTGGTGAACCAGACCACAAGGGTCTTGGCACTGGTTCATTTTCATTACTCATTAGGCTGTCAGGGGGAATAGCTGTGAACAGCTCCGACAAAATGCTGTTAATTTACACATTTGGCAAAAATGTTGATACCACATATTTCAGTAAGAAAGGGAGCATTCAAAAATCCAGAAAAATTCACTGACTAAAAGGTTAGTGTTGTTATGTTGTAATGCTGTCAGGTAGAAAATACTTTTTTACAAATTTTTACGTTTTCTAATCAGGGAAACATCTCACATCTGTAGATACGCATTTGTTTTGAGGCTAACATTCTGCAGATGATCAAAAATAAAAAGTTGGGAAATACTGACAAGCCCTTATTTAACTCGTGTGTGTATTACTGATTCTGCAGTGTGCATATGCTTTTCTCATATAAAAGAGGGCAGGGAGGTTTTCAGGTTTTAATTATCCTCGTGTTGCAGAAACCACATGGACATTTGTACTGCTGGGACTGGCCTTTGTCTGCCTTCTTGTTGGTTTTCTTCTGCTGGGAATGGGAGCCATGGCAAATAAGTATGACCCGAAGTTGTCTGACTGCTATTTTTTTGAGAGCGAACATACTGTATATTATATTAAAGGTTTCTGTACTAACTCAAACAGGAGCAGGAGGAAGATAGCAGAGTACAAGGCTGCAACATCTCTGCTTCAGAAAAATGAAGATCAGGAGCTGCTCAAAGAAAACAGCACACACCCAGCATCAGACACGCCACTGCAGGGAAACAAGCCTCACATGTCCAACAGTGACACAAGCGAGCAGAGCAATGCAGAAAATATTGTGGTCACATGGAAAGATGGCAACACCTCCTGCCTGTACCCAGATCCTGCGGTGGAAGAGAAACAGGAGGAAGAGAGGAAAGAGGAAATAACAGCTGCTGAGCTCCACTCTCCAGATGAAGTGAAGATTATGAGCTGAAGAGGTCACAGTGAATACCAGCGGCCAGTGGGCGTGGCAGTGTTTGCTTTAATAATTTATAATAATTTTCTGATGATTCTTATTTTCCTGACTTCAGAGAGAAATTTTATGAAACCGTCAAATGATCAGAAAACATTTGTCTTTTTTATTCATTCCTAATAAAGCTCATAACAGTTTACATTACAGTTTCAGTGGGTGGTTGCGCTCATAAAATGTGTCCATGTGGGAACAAAAGTTATATAAAAATGGTTCCCTGTAAAGCTGTTCTATAAAAACAGCTTCTGGATGCAAGTTCAGATCTGCTTATGTGTGTTTCCCCCAGTGGGCTTTGCCATTGTTTGTTTTGGGGTGGCTAAAGGAGGGAGCGCTGCCCCTGCTGATGGTTCAGCTTCTAGGGCTCCTCTTGTGTTGATGATTTCTGGTTTGATGGGCTGTAAAGTTGCTTTGAATAAGGTTCTGTCCACAGGGAGTCTGACAAACAGACACCGAATGTTCTAGTCTTCCTGTGAACTGAAATGGGAAAAACTTAATGAGATTTGAGTACTTTTGTGTTGTGCTGATGCCTCAGATATTATTGCATCACAATAAATCACTTGCTTTGATTTTGAAGGCCTTTCGGACTTGTCCTTGTTCGTATAAATGTCTCTAATATGGGAAAACATTGCTTAGCGAGAGAAAGAATTTCCTTCATGCTGCTCACCACATTGGAAGAGCAAGCTTAAAAGGTATGCATGACTTTTTCTCAGTGACATAATGGTTTGGTTTATCCATCATTTCAGTGGATGTATGACAACATTAAGGAGGTCATAAGCTAAACTACGCTGAAAAAAAGGGATTGGCCATCTCTTGGATTTATGTAAGCATCTTGCGTGTATTTAACACAACTGCCTCATGCTTTAAAGTTAAGTGTAACTGTGTCGTGTAGAAACTACGTGATATGCAGAGAGGGTAGATTAAATCATGTTCAAGTGAAGTAAGTCAATAATATAGTGATGTTAAATCTTGCTACACCTTTGGATCGTGGTTTGAGGAAGGCATCCATCTCAAGCCGAGCCTCCTGCCTCTACTTTTTTCGGTATACAAAATAAAGTAAATTGGGTGGTTGTTACATTAAAACAAAAAGTCTACCTGTAATTTGAACACAAAAATTTCATGTTTCTATCTTGAACGTTAGGAAATCATGTAGGATCTGTATGAAATTCAACAACTTAATTTCTTCTTGTTGAGATGACCTGATATAATCAATCAATCAATCAGAACTTTATTTGTCACATGCAAGTTGCCCTGCAGTGAAATGCACAACACAGACATCACATGGGGAGACAGGTCGGAGATCGGTAGAATTACGGAAAAACACTGAAATGTACACTACAATGGGAAAGTACAAGAGGGAAAAAAGAGA